TACTAGCAGCTCCAGTTATTTCTGAAAATCACCTCATGAACCTTCAGAAGTTTTCAATTGGTCCATCAAGATAAACCTCCTCAGGTCTAAAATTCAGAGTTTCAGAACATAACCCAAGCCACCTCTGCAGCCTTCTTTTCTGCCTCTTCCCTATGTTGATCTTGTCTACATTCTCTAAACAAAGTCTTTAATCACCTATGTATTCACAGTGTTCTGTCCACATGCTGTTAACGCTTATTCTTTAAAACAGCTCTTCACTAACCATCTTGTGTGCTTTTTATTCCCGCCCTTTGAAGTCCAACAGCATTACATCTAAGTTTCTTATAGCATATACGTTCTGGTTGATAATACTTGGGCATTTATGTTCTTTCCCTTCAATAAGATAAATATGACTTCAAAGATCTCACAATTTACTATTTCCCTTCCCTAACCTGCAGTTGCTGTTGCTGCAGATATACTCAACAAACCCATCTTTTATGTAAAGTCATCATTTAAAGACTTGCCTGATAATTCTAAGGGATAGGGAATATCAGGCAATTGACATACACAGATATCACCTGATTTACTAGCATTGGTTTTCTTAGCAGAGGAAGCAAAGAGAGGGAAATTAATTTGCTTTTCTATCTTACTTCTCTTGACTCCTGACTCTTCAGTCTGGGACACAATATTCAAATAATGTTTCCAAACACAAACTGAAGAAAATTCTCTTGATGGTAGCCTGCAAAGAATTTCCTTATCTCCTCGTCACAAAAATCCTCTCACATAAATGATGTCATACTCTCATCTGATGACTGCTGACCCTGCTAGAATATTAGAACATTCAATCTAAATATGCTACATATTCTATTAAAAAAGAACTTCTTAACCACCAAAGTTACAGTTGGTGGGAGAATTAGGAAATTCTCAAGAAAGGAACAATTAAATGAAGACAAGTCTCCTGCCAGGTCTATGGCTATCTCTCCAACACAAGGGGCAGTAAGTATAGTGTAAGAAATCTGGCTGAGGAATGAGATGGATCTGGGTTTAACTATCACTTCTCCTGCTTACTAGCGGTGTGATGTGGCATACACTTATTATTCTAATTCTCACTTTCCTCATTTAGAACATGGGGATATTAGTAGGATTGCTATAAAGATGAAATGTGTTTAAACCAGATGGTGCATTATCAGTTACACAATAGTCATTTGATGAGTCTGTGTAATACTTAACAATTATTATTTCAATGCTGCAAAGCATACATGTTTCTGTTCATCAATACATGTAATTGTTGCTATTGTGGTTAACTGCCATCGAGTTGATTCCAAACCCTAGTGACCCTATATAGGATTTCTGAGGAGCAGCTTGTGAGCTTGAAGAACCGACCTTGTGGTTCACACCGACTTTGTAGTCCAGTGCATTAAGCCACAGCGCCACACCAATTAGTAGGGATTTTTTTAATGCCTAAAAAAGACTACCTTCTAATATGTATGGTTAATGATGCAATAAAAATAAAGAGCTCCAGGTGTAATCAGAAGGGGTGGATTTGATTTCATCAATGTTCCGCTTTTAGGAAACCCATTAAACCTTTCTGTGAATCTTCTCATTGTAAAGTGATTATTTCTGTCAGATATGAGGCTTGTCACAAGTTCTACACTGCCATAAGGAGATGCAATTAGGAGAAATAGGCACCAAATCTGCATTTCTATCATTCATTTCTTGTCACTGGAGAAAATTCAGAAAGTAGGGAGAAAGCAGTGACAGGAAAGTAATATTGAAACCCCCATAAAATTATTTGAGTTTATAATTATATTATGAAAGGAATAATATACTGAAAAGTATAGTTTACATTATGGCTCCTTCCTACCTCTCCACTGTTTGTTGTTGTTAGGTAGGCTCAAACTACAGACTTTGTAGTTAACAGTCCAGTGCTTATCCTACAGAGCCACCACGCTACCACTTTAGACCATGTTGTTGTTATTAAGTGCTGTCAAGTCGGTTCCAAATCATAGAACCTTGTATAGGGTTTCCGAATAGCAGTTGGTGAGTTTGAACCACCAACCAGTGGTTCAAACAACTTCAAACGACCTTATCCTACAGAGCCATACCAGGGCTCACTTTAGACCAAAAAGGCATGTTATTTTTGGTCATGGGAAAAGTGGCAATGAATGTGCACAGCACAATCAAAGTAAAACTGAGTTGAGCACATATGGATGAACAGAGGCAAACTGGCATACAGATAGGTACAGGTGAGAAGAAGTAGATGTATCCATAAAAAACAAAACACAAATCCACTGCCATTAAGTCAATTCTGACTCACCGCAACTCTACAGAAGACAGACCAGGACTGCTCCTTAGGGTTCCAAGGCTGTAAATCTTTACGGTAGCAGACAGCCTCATCTTGCTCCTGTGTAATGGCTGATGGGATTGAACTGCCATCCTTGTGGTTAGCAGCCCAATATTTAGCCCATAGCTGCACCATAGCTTGTTGTAGGTGCCATTGAATTGGTTCTGACTCAGAGCAGTTCTGCATAGGGTTTCTGAGGCTGGAAATCTTTGTGGGAGCAGAAAGCCTCATCAGTCTCCTGAGGAGAATGCTTATCATATAGTGCCACTACACTCCTTAGTTGGGTGTGAATACAAAAATGGGGGTGCAGGCTCATATATCCATTGCTGACATGAATGTGGATATTCCTCAAACATCACCAAACACATTCCAAAATTAGTTTTCTGGGTTTGAAGACTTAGGACCATAGTCTCCAGGTACAAATCAGTCAAGTGGCATAGCAGAGATCACAAAATCATGAGCTGTGACCCAGTATAGTGAGTGTGATTGTTAAGTGCCACCGAATTAATTGAGTAGTGTCTGGGATTTTTCAAGCTCTGAACAGCCATCTAAGACACAATTACAGGTCTCTACTCACCAGGAATCCTGGTGTGGTGCTGTGGGCTAATGCGCTGCACTGTAAAGTCATTTTGCACCGGAAGGTTGCCGGTTCAAGCTCACCAGCTGCTCCTTGGAAACCCTATACAGAGTAGCTATGAGTCTGAACCGACTTGACAGCACTTAACAACAGCAACTCAGCAGGAGTAAAATAGTTAAGAAAGCAAGCAAAACCTCAGATACGAAGCAAGTCTATACAATCTCATCTAACCCTTCTGATTAGGACAGGATAGAAAAAAAATGGAATAGAACTCAGTCTTACTTTAAAATGAAGAAGCAATCACCCTAAAAAAGGCCTAACTGCTCATCAATAGAGACCCCAGGTGGCACAGTGGATTAAGTATTTGGGCTGCTAACCCCAAAGCTGGCAGTTCAAACCCACCAGCCATTCCTTGGGAGAACTGATGCTGTCTGCTCACAAAGTCCCAGTCTGAGCAACGCTAAGGAGGAGCAAGTCTAACTTTTCTGTCCTGTAGGATCACTATGATTTGGAATTGACTCAATGGGAGTAAGTTTGGTTCATTGATACTTTAAAACCAAAATTTAGATTCTGGGAGAAAAAAAGTTATTGGATTTTACAAATTAAGGTCTTTGTTATGGATTATGGATTGAATTACATTCTGCCAACATATGTGTTGGGACCTAACCCCTACACAAAGGAGCTTTAAAATGTCTTGGAAAACTTGAATTAAAAGAAAATGGAATTTTTCCAGGGACATTTTAAAGCCTCATCAACCTGGATGTGATCTTGTTTGGGAACTTGTTTATTATGTTAATGAAGCTATATCAGTAAAGGGTGTGTCCTAAACCTAATCTCATCTGTGTTATCAAAAGAGCAGATTAGACACAGAGACAAAAATACACTGAAGGGAAGACAAACTCTTTGGTAGAGTAGTGGTTATGAATCGGGCTGCTAACCTCAAGGTCAGCAGTTCGAAACTACCAGCTGTTCCGCAGGAGAAAGATGAGGCTTTCTGCTGCCATAAAGATTTACAGCCTCGGAAACCCTGTACAGGGTCACTATGAGTCGGAACTGACTCCACGGTACTTAACAACAACAAGAAGGATCAATAAGGGCTATAGAAGCTGAAAGAAACAAGTATCTTCTGGAACCAACTCCTGGTGTGGCACTGTGTGTTAATGCGCCAGACTGCAAAGCTGTTTGAACTGTGAGGTTGGTGGTTCAAGCTCACCAGCGGCTCCTTGGAAACCCTATACAGGGTTGCTATGAATTGGAACCGACTGACAGCAATGTAGGATAAACAGTGGATCGCAAGATCAGTTTGAACCTAATGGTCGGAGGTTCAAACTCACCAGCCACTCTCAGGTACCCTATAGAGAGTCACTATGAGTTGGAACTGACTTGACTACAGTTAACAACAGAGCCCACCGAGAGTGAGCCTTCACCTGAACTGAAGCTCCAAATTTGGATTTCTAGTCTCCTGAAGGAGCCTTGCTGGCATAGTGGTTAAGCTCCTAGATGCTAATGGGAAGATCAGTGGTTGAAACCCACCAGCAAAAGACACGCCAGTGTCAGCTTCAATAAAGATTGTTGTTATTGGAACTGAGAGAAAGCCTGGTATAGGGTATGCAAGGAATGTCTGGTGGGTTTGAACTGCCAACGTTGTGGTTAGCAGGCCAGTGCTTATCCTGTAGAGCCATACCCAGGACTCCTCCAAGGAGCTTACAACCTTAGAAAAACTACAGAGCAGTTGTATCTTGTTCTATGACGTTGACTACGTGAGAATTGACGCAACACCAATGGGCAAGCCTCCTGAACTGTGAGAAAATGAATTTCTCTTCTTTAAAGCTACCTACCTACTTGTGGTATGTGTTACAAACTAAGAAACGAAGACAGACTAAAACAAGAATCTGCAGTATCGTTACGTAGAGCACAATGGTATTCTTTGAGTAAAACAAATTGTAACAAATGTATATATTCATATTGGCTCTACTAAGCTATAAAGTTTTCACCTGGAAGAACTTCAAAAGCTATTCTTTATTAAAATCATCAAAGGCAAAACAAAACAAAACACCATTCTATTCGGTTATTGATTGTTTTTCTGTTTCTTAAACTCACGTGTTTTTGGCTTGTCCATCCTGAAAGCACATTTGTCCCACTAATGCAGCAGATTGGTCTCCCAAGCACTGAAAGTAGAAATGACAATAAAGAAAATACTGGGTAAAAGATAACTTCCTGATTTAGCAATTCTAACTCATAGCAACCCTGTATAGGGTTTCCGAGAAGTTGGTGGGTTTGAACAGTCGACCTTGCGGTTCGCAGTCCACTGCTGATCCTACAGCACCACACCAGGAGTCTTATTAGCAACAAGATTTCTTATTTAGCAAGGGATGAACTATGTTTCTTATATTTCTTCCACTTGGCCATTTTTCCATTTGTTTTTACTGCTATCAGATATTAGGTATGGGATGGGAGACTTAGAGTAGCAACTCATTAATCTATTCAAAAGATTCTTAATGACCCACACTGTGTCAAATAAGAACAAGGACTAGCCAATTTTGTTGCTGTTACCTGTTTTCTATAGTTTAGGAAGGGGTCAATCATCTATGATGTAGGAGGAAAGGGGGTGGGTAGGGACTGGTAGAGAACTGTTTGGTGATGAAACTTACCCCAGATATAGGCACACCTTCCAAGGCCCCAGCTTTCTAATGAAATTTTTAAAAAAGCATTATGAATAATCAGAAATTCATGGCTTTATTAACATAACTGCAACATGAATCAACACAAAGAGCAACATGCTCTGGCATGTGGGCAGACAAGACAAAGCAAGTGTTCTAAGCTACATGAATGCTACAGACATAGATGCTAGAAGAATATCTAGAATAACAAGAAGAGAAGAGACATGGCACTACAGAAAGAACATGAGTAAAGGAATGGGGCATTGGGAGACCTCAGCTTTACTCCTGGTTCAGTTATTAATTTCGTGGTAAGCCACTGAGTAGGCTGCGAAAACCTCTCTATGCATCAGTATATTGATCTACAAAATGGGAACTGAGCTTCTTGATTGTTGAAGTCCAATATTGCTTTGTTCCTACTGTCATTAAGAAATGATGAACACGTCTGTCAAACTAGCATATGAGAAACTTACTTTGGAAGGCTGTATTTCAGCACTACTGCACTACTGCTTTCTACTCAAACTGCTCTTAAGATAAGCAAGTCAGAAACACAAAAATTTTCAGGCACTGGATAATATTTGGTCATAGCAAGCATGATTCTTCACTTGATATTGTTTAATGTTAAATGCTGTCGAGTCTGTTCCAATTCATAGTGACCCTCACGACCAGTCAGTGGATTTGAACTGCTGACCTTATGGCTCACAGTCTAGTGCTGATCCTACAGCACCACACCAGAAGTCCTCTTCAACTTATAAGCAAGAGTTACTTTATGTTACGAAGAGTGGTTTTTGTTTAGTTTAAATATGGCCAGAATTCTAGGAAGACTGATTTACCAAACTTAATTTAAAAAAACAACAACAAACAAACAAACATATACTAACACAAAGCAATGTTTTTCATATTCAGGAGTTAGGGGGAAGGAACGTGATTCTTGAAGTAGAAAAGAGCAACAAACTAAAACTTTGAACTGAACTCCTGTCTGGCATTAGTTAGTGAGCAAGTGTCCCAAATTCTGGGAGTTTCAGGCTTCCTGTGTTTTACAAAGAGGGTAAGAATAAAATCCTCCTCACATGGTTAAAAGGAGAAGGAAATAAGACAACATGTGGGGAAAACTTTTACAAAAACAGATACCATCTTTCTAGATCTCTGGTGTTATTTTATTTCGTTCATGCTTTCTGGTTAATTCAAGACTGACCACTTTTATTTACTGTATATATTTATATATTTCATTGAATATCTGAACCTGGATAATAAATAAAGGGTAAATGAAAAGCTCTTAAGGTGGGTTAATAGGAAACTGAAAGAGTATGTTTCTTAGTATATTTAAATACTACAAGAGAAAGTCTTTGCTTAGACTTTGTTTCCTCATGGGGAGGGGCCTCTGGAGGATTCCTGGGAGCGTCCTCTGGTGAAGCATGCAGAAAAAGTGACAGTGCATTTCCAACTAACTGGTCTACAAGGCTGGTCACGCTGCCATTTATGACATATGAACACTATACCTTATTTCCTTACTACAATAAGGCGTAAAGCATAGCACAACTATACTTTGTAATGGAGAATATAAGAATTTGTGATTCCAGGCACTGACATGGTTTTTCATTTAGAAACATGCTTTCAGTCTTATAAAAAACTTAAAAATAAACACAAGTTTAAAAAACAAACACACACACTAAATCCTGACTCGAACTTAACACAAATCGAAAGCTCACAAAAATTCTACATACATCTGACATCTGTTGAACAAATGGACCTTCTGCTTGTCTAAATGTAAACGGAAATGCACTGTATCTTTTCCAAATGAATGGGTAGCATAATTGGTGGGCAACCTACTCACCAGGCTATGAGAGATTTTCTATAGTCAGCAAGGGGGGGAAAAGGGGGACAGAAGCATAATATTTTAAATGCAAGAGAAAAGCAGTCCAGTTAAAGTATTTTCTCAACCATCTTCTGGAACTATTTCTCAAGAATACTCTTTTGGTCGGACCCAAGCCAGTTGGTTGGCAGCTATTAAATTATAAAAGCACTTTTATTCTAGATAAACAATGACTATGGCTTCCCTTAAAAAATACCATGCTACCTTCCAAAGCTTTATTATACATGAACTAATTAAAACCTCTTGCTCAAGCTTTATACAGAGCACCTACTGTTCAACTCTAATCGCACTGTAAGTAGAGTTTCTAACATTTTTTTTTTCATGAAATACAAAATTTAAAAATATATATTTTAAATAATTTATCTTTTATTTATTTCTAAGTTTTATCATGAATGTCAGGTGTTTGACAAATGTCCATTATGGAAACTAATTTAATTAGCAATCACAAATCAAAACCAGATTGTTTTCAGTGTTTGCTAAAATTTTGCTCAGGTTATCAAAGAATCTAATACAATATAACTTGGTTTGGCCATTAAAAGAGACTTACTTAACAGGCAAAAGACTACTAATAAAATGTGAGAAATCCTACTTAATAAATTAAAAGCAGACGTCACAATTACTAAAGTTATTTGGATTGTAAGAATAAACTAGGTCAACCTCTGCAATTAATAAAATGGGTTCTAAGAGATTTGTCTAGGTTATAAAACTGTTGTTGTGAGGTACCATTGAGTTAGTTCTGACTTATAACAACCCAATAAAGGGTTTCTGAGGAGCGACTGGTGGGTTTGAACCCCCAATCATGTGGTTAGCATTCCAGAGCTTACCCTACAGCACCACACCAGGACTAATGAAATGAAATGAAATTCTATTTTTCCTTCTGCCAATATTCACAGAAAAGTCACACATCTCTGAAACTATCAAAATATAACACATTTGACTTTGGAATTCTGAATAGAAAAGTTTTTTTTAAAATGAAATAAAAGATAAATGTTTTTCTTTTACCATGAGGCCATAGATTTCAGAAGAACTCCGGACATTTGGAAGAATTGCCATTGGAATTTCAAAAAAACTGAAAAACAATAAGATATCATTGTATACATAACACTGCTTTACATGAACATTTGGAAACCTTTATATATTTTAAAGTCGAAGCCATGAATAACATTAGAAAATGGATGTATTTGAATACAGAGTTAAATAGCTATAGATTAATAATTCAACAGATTTATTTGTATGCTTCTAACTATATACAAAGAAAACACAAATTAAGAAGTATATGAAAATCAAATTTTTTTAAAGGAATCTAATCTTTTTGAAGAATAATCAAGACAATTAACTGATTTATCTTACAAAGACACACAATACAGACTAGTATATTGTAGTTAAAATACAAACAGTTAAATTTTAATATTCCAAGAACATTTAAAAATAGTAAGATTTAGGGGATAAATAGGCAATGTATTTGGAAAAAATACATTTAGCAAAACGTAACTTACTCACACAGCTCTTTATCCCATTCCAAAGAATGAATATTAAAAAGCATCGTCCGACTTGCATTTGTGACATCTGTACAATGGACACCTCCTTTGGCTCCTCCTGTCAAACTCTAGACAAAATTGAAATGACAAGTCCACTTTGTCCACCAACATTTTGCTAAGGGCCATAATGAGCAACAATGCACATAAAGCAGGACACGGAAACATTTCAACAATTTCATTTCTAATTTTAAGCAGGGTCCAGCTGAACTATATCTAATATCGTCCCTGTGTGACGCTGTGGGATAATGTACTAGACCAAAAGGTCATTTTGAACCTCAAGGTTGGCTGTTCCAATTCACCAGCCACTCCTCAAAAACCCTATTCAGGGGCACTATGAGTCGGAACTGACTCGATGGCACTTGACAACAATAACAACAGTGCCCTAACTTAAAAATGGTTTAAAGAAACAGGTGAAAGTAATTTTAATAATATTATAAATTTGATTTAAACCAAAATTTAAAAAAATCATCATTTCAATATGTAATCAATCTGAAAAATGGAAACACTTTGTCTTAATTTTATTTATATATATATATATATATATATTTATAATCTAGTATTTTATATTTATAGTACATCTCAACTCAGGCTAGCCACATTTCTCATGCTGAAAAAAGATATCTATGGGCTAGTGGTGACTGTGTTAGACAGAATGATTTTAGTTGACTGATGGTTGGGATAGTTAAGGTTTGGTGTCGACTTAGCTGGGCCAGGATTCTTAGTGGGGCTTAGCTGTTAAAATATAGTTACCAGCTTCAGGATGAAACATAATCACCCTATGATAGATATGAGCTGATGTGATCAGACCTGATCTAATTACCCAAAGTGTTGTAAATCCTCCCGTCTAATCTAAGCTGTTAATGCAATCTACAGGATTAGGTTGTAACTTGAGCCTTATTCTTTTGAGATATAAAAGGAGAGACAAGTGAGAAGAAAGGAAGAGACCTACTACAAGCAAGATAAAAAAAACCAGGAGTAGCATGCATCCTTTGGATCTGGAATTCGTGCACTGTGAAGCTCCTATATCCAGAGGCAGATTGATGCCAAGACACACGGAGATCACGAAGGAATGTTGGGCTTACTTCGACTGCTCTCCTACTGCTGAAAGGAGACAGGGACCTTTCTCCAGACCCAGTGCTCTAAATTCAGATTTCTAGCCTGCTAACTGTGAGAGAGCTTAGTGGGGAGCTCTGGTAGCGTAGTAGTTACGATTCGGGCTGCTAACCTCACGGTCAGCAGTTCGAAACTACCAGCTGTTCTGTGGGAGAAAGATGAGGCTTTCTGCTCCTGTAAAGATTTACAGCCTCGGAAACCCTATAGAGGGTCACTATGAGTTGGAACTGACTCCACGGCACATAACAACAACATCAACAACTGAGAGAAGAAATGTCTACTTGTTAAAACCATCTATTTGTGGTATTTCTGTTATAGCAGCACTAGAAAATTAAGACAATGGTTAAACAAAAATAATCAGTTTTGTTTGACAAGAACCTGTTTTTTTTTTTTGGTTGGTTTAGTTTTGTTGTTTTGTTTTTGTTTACTAGCTTTTTGAATAAAAATTCTTATTGGTTTCTGACTACACCAACTCACCCATCTATCTTAAAAGAGTTTTAAACTCTCCAACGTTAACCCTCTTGTAGCTGAACTAGAAGAACTTTCCTTTATGTGGAAGCCATAAGAGTTAACAACAGTGGCCACATAGCACCACATGGCGGACAGCCAAAATGTGCTCCCTCAAGTCTCCTGGGGCTTATGGTTCCCACACTCCACCTAATGCTGCTTATTAGTGACAGCTGTCGGAGCTACTCACACAACCGTATCTGACACATGTGAATTCTGCTGGCCATGAGCACAAACATAATCTGCTTGGGCCAAGCCCGTGGAGGGGTGGAGAAGGTGCCTCTTCCAAAGAGTGGCTCTACATGACCTGCTCTGTGGATACAACCTTTAGCAGAGGGATAATACTTTCATTCCTTTGGAGCAACATTGTATGTTGAAAAAAGATAATCAAATACTTTGAGTTTACAATTGAAATTTAACAAATGCAGTAACATGTTTGAGATTTGCTTTAAATTTATCTGTGGGGAGGAAAAGTATGAGCTTAGTCATATGTTACTCATTGCTCTCATTGGCTCCCTCATAGAGGGGTTTATTACGCCATTCCTTCAACTTTGACATATATTTGAAAATGTCTATAATATAATAAAAAAGTCAAAGAGAGAAATGACTACAGAGCATGTGCTTTGAAATATCTGAAGTATTAAATTCTATTCATTCATGTTTAACTTAGGCACAAATAATAACAAAAATATCGATTATGATTTTGGCTCATATTATGACACATAAGAGAGATGGCTGTGTAATGTGGAAAGTGAATGGTAACATCAGCCTAGGTATCTTATCATGTTAGATGGCAAGTGGGAAAGGCTACCTGAATATGTCTGGGTGGAGCTGATGAAAGGAGATGGGGATAGGGCTCTTGTGGTACAAAAGTGAATAACTGCTATCAGGACTGACTGTGAGGGTTGGAAATGTAAAGGTAGACGTTTTGTAAGAAAAGAAGGGGAGTGGTTGATGTTACAGTCCAGGTGCAGAAGTCCCTGGGACCATCAAGAGAAAAGAGCGGCATGTAGGACCCTACCCAGAGAAACAGTGATACCAGAGATGGAGGCAGAGATGATCATGTGGAGAGATGGAGTGTCTGGGGACTCTAGACCCAGAGAGGGAGAGGGGCTGTATGTGACGACTGAGGGGGCAGGCTTATGGGGTATATACTTTGGTTATTTGATGATGAATGGACGAGATTGTAATCATGGCAATGAAACGATCGATATACGACAGGATGAATGTAATGCTAATGTTCTCCCATGTAAACTATCACATAATTCACAATCAAAACTTAAAAAAAAAAAAAAAAAAAGGACATAGGCAAAAATGCCTCTCATGATTTTTCTTAATAATGTTAACTAGAAAACCTGACCTTTTTCAGCAGAAAACAAATACTAGGCAAGATAGTCTTCACTTTTTTTTCTAGAAATACTCTCCACACATACATTATATTTAAACATACCCAAATAAGCCATGAATCAATGGTCCCAAAAAGCGCTCTATCTTCTTCAACAGCTTTTTGAACTTTTCTTACATTGTCAAGAATCCAACGAAGTTTCACTGCGCTGAAGTAGGTGCTAAGTGGAAGGCCTGTCTTGGACTATAACAATTATGAAACTGTTCAGTTAGTGTATTTAACGTGTTTAGCATGTCAGTTATTACAGTTCAAAATAAAACCACTAAACCCATATCTCCACAAATCACAAAATATTCAAAAGCAATGCCACTGTATTAAGAATAAAAATCGTTTTCCTATCTCATGGCACAGAAAAGCATGTTTATGAACAAAGATCAGAGTGATGTTTGCAGTTCAAAGATCAGCCACAGAGCAAGGCAAAGAGAAATTTAAAAGCACTAACATTTGTGATCAATTAGTATTACATGTACAGCCTAGTGCCCAAACCTGATTTTTGTTTTATATTCCATGAAAGTGATATTTAAACTATTGAAAATCAGAGTACATTAAATTATAAACTAGTGACAATAACCAAAATTTTAATATTTTAAAACATCTAAGATTTAACAGCAACAACTATACAAGGAGGCTTCAAAAAGTTAGTGGAAATTTTCCCATATTTGCATTCCATTTTCCAGCAAATTTTTTGAAGCTCCCTTAGATATATGTATAAGGAGCTCTCATAGTGTAGTTGGTCATATGTTGGGCTGGACCTGCCAATAGTTAGTAGTTAGAATCCACCATCTATGGGAGAAAGATGAGGACTTCTGCTCCCGTAACGATTTACTAGATGTAGCTAAACGATAACTGAGAAGAATAAGGTTCAAAAGAGGGGAAAGATAGTTGCATTCTTTTCATGTATGTATTTTCTTAACCACTTACCTTTAATTAATATTTATACATCAGTTTGGTATTTAACATACTAACAAAAAGAGAAACAATTCAAGCCTCTGTTGGCAAAATACTGAATGATGCAGAAAGCATCAAAAGAAGATGGAAGGAAAATACAGTCACTGTACCAAAAAGAAATGGTTGAAGCTCAACAAATTCAAGAGGTAGCATCTGATCAACAGCCAATGATACTGAGGCATTGACAAAGAACAAGGCACCAGGAATAGATGGAATATAAGTTGAAATCTTACAACAAACTGATGAAGCACTGGAGGTACTCACTCATTTAGGCCAAGAAGTTTGGAAGAAAGCTACCTGGCCACCTGGTTGGAAGAGATCCATATTAGTGCCCATTCCAAAGAGAGATGATCCAACAGTACACAGAAATCATCGGACAATATCATTAATATTGCATGCAGGCAAAATTTTGCTAAATTAATAAACAACTGCTACAGCACATTGACAGAGGTGCAAGCCAGATTCAAACGAGGACATGGAACATGGGATAACATTGTTGACGTCAGATGATCTTAGCTGAAAACCAAAATTACCAGGAAGATGTTTACCTGTGCTTTACTGATAATGCAAAAGTTTTCAGATGACAAGCTCTGGACAACATTATGGAGACCGTGTATTCCCCTTCACAATTAATTGTGCTCATGAGGAACCAAGAAGCAGGTTTGGAAACAGAACAAGGGAACACTGAATAGTTAAAAAAATTAGGAAAGGTATGTGCCAGGATTGTATTCTTTTCACTATATTTATTCTATCTGTATGATGAACACATAATCTGAGAAGCTGGATTATGTGAAAAAGAACTTGGCATCAAGATTTATTAAAGAATTATTAATATCCTGCGATATACAGATGACACAATCTTGCTAGCTAGCTAATGTGAAGAGGACTTAATTACTTACTGGTGAAGAACAAAGATCAGTTGTACCTCAATATAAAGAAGACAAAAACCCTCACCACTGGGCCAATAAATAGCATAAATATAAATGGACAAAGTTGAAGTTGTCAAAGACTTAATTTTGCTCGGATCAATCATCAACACTATGACTACTAAGTCAAGAAATCAAATGACGTATTGCATTAGGCAAATCTGCTGCATAAGACCTATTTAAAGTGCTGAAGAGCAAAGATGTCAGTTTAAGGACTAAGGTGTGCCTGACCCAAAGCATGATATTTTCAATCGCTTCATATGCATATGAAAGTTGGACAAAAAAAAAAGGAAGATCATAGAAGAATCGCTGACCTTGTGAGTCAAACCGACCTTGCAGTCCCGGTGCGGCACTGTGCTATACATATATATATCTATAGATATATAGATGAGTCCTGGTGTGGCACTGTGGGTTAATGTGCTGGACTGCAATGTTCATTCAAACTGCAAGGCTGGAGGTTTAAGCTCACCAGCCACTCCTTAGAAACCCTATACGACGTCTCAATGGGTCAGAACTGACTCCACAGCACTTAATAATTA